CGGCCGCTAGTGTCGGCTCCAAGGTTGGACAGAAGTACAAGGGCATCGTCAAAAGCATGACGGAGTTTGGCGCGTGGGTAGACATCGGCGCAGTGAGCCGCGGGTTGCTTCACATTTCGCGAATCGCGAAGCACCGCGTTCACAGTGTCCAGGACGTTCTGGATGAGGGCCAAGAGGTGGACGTCTGGATCTGTGGCCTTCGGGAAGGTAAGAAGTTTGGGCTCACTATGGTTGAGGGCCGCTTGGACGTATGCTGCTCAGTGTCCATTGACCGAGTGATCGCTGAGCTCGACTGCGGAAACAGTGCGATCGATACAACGATCGATAGTTCCTTGATCCACGCTGTGGCGGCAGTAGATCTGGAGACCCTGATCCGATCGTGCAACGGGCAGTCAACCCATAATCATTTGACCTTATGAGCATTTGGGATGACGACGGGTACACTTACCGCGGCCCTCTCGGGAACGGTGGCAGAGACACGTGGGGCCTCAGGATCCAGCCTCTCTCGCCTGCGGTTTGGGCCGTGCGAGGCTTCTCTATCGGAGTATTGGGTATAGTGTTAAGTCCCTCCGAGGGGGCTCCACTCAGGTGGCGGTCTCTCGCGGACCCTCCTTGTGCGAAGGGCTCTGGCGGCCTCAGACGGCCCCGAGACGACCCATGAGGGCTCCAAAATGAGCCAAGAGAGCCCCGAGAGGGCCCCCAGAGCCCCAGAGGGCCTGAGGTTGCCCCAGAACGCCCTCAGACGGCCCACGATGGCCTCAAGACGGCCTCAGGAGCCCCCCAAACGCCCCAGGATTGCTCCGAGTTCACTCCCTGCGGGGGCCCCAAGAGGGCAACATCAATGATTCCCTTGTGGTCTTTTGAAGGATTTTGGCGCTCACGTTGTTTTGAGCTTTCAGCACTTCTAGACAGCCCATGAGGGCCCCAATATCGCCCCAAGACAACCCAAGAGGCTCCCATGAGGGGTCAAAGACTGCCCTAGAGGGCCTCAAGACGGCCCAGGAGGCCCCACGAGGGCCCAAGCGGCCCCCAAGAGGGCACAAGAGAGGCCGAAGAGGGGGCCAAGAGGCGAAAGCGAAGGGTCTTTGCCCGAAACATTGCCGCCGAGACCCTCAACATGCCCCCAAGGGGCCCCCAAGACATCCCCAAGAGGCCCCCCAGACGCTCCAAGAGGTCCCCCAAAGCGTTTCCAAGAGACCCACGAGAGAGGCTCCAAGATGACCCCCAACGCGCCCCAAGATGCCCCTCCAGAAGCCTGCAGAGTCTGAACAGACCTCCTGAGGACTGAGCCCCAAGGATCCCCGGCCACCAAGTAAATTTGCTTCCCTACCACACGCATAGTGCCCTCCACAGACCCCCCGGGTCACCCATCGACAGGCATCCCGGACGTCCCGAGCATGAACCAGTCGGTGTGCTTCCTTTACTTCGCGCACGGCAGCCCCTGCTTCAGCCCCCGGGTGCGGCCGCGACGCCGCCCCGCGCCCACTGCCAAGGCGATGCAGCACTGGCTGGCTGCCCCTGGCCGCTCCACGGCGATGCGCCTCGCCACGTGGGTGCCCTCCCTCCCCTACTCCCTCCCCGCGGCCGCTTTCGCCTGTCTCCCCCCCTCTCGTGCCGCCGGGCAGTTTGCTTTTCCGTTCCTCGGGCCGCTGGAGCGCGCGTGCGGGCTGCCTCTGCCGCGCTGCGGCGTACTCAGAGCGCGTCGCGCTCCTCGGGAGCGGCCGGCGGTGCGCCGCGCCCGGCGTCTTCGGCAGGCGTGGGGGGGGCAGGCCACGGAGGGGCTCGCGGAGGCTCTTGGCACGCCCAGGCCGCGCATGGGCAGGCCGCGCGGAACGGTGGATCGAAAGCGCCTGCGGCGCATCACCGTCGCCCCCAGCGCAGGCGTGAGGCGTTCCCCAAAAAAAATGTTGTCGAGGGTCGAAGGAGTTGCCATCGTTTCCGCCGTGGAAGGCGGCGGGCGGGCGGCGGGACCGCCTCCGCCAGCGGAAGCCCGCGGAAGCTCGGCGGAAGGCGGCGGGAGGAAAAAAATGCGCCCCAAGAGATGACAACGTTTTTGGGTTCAGGGTTTCCGAAATCGCCCGCGTATGTGGCCAGCTGTTGCGTGAAAGCTGGGTCAAGCCGCTGAAGTGTGTGTCCCCCCCTCGCCGTTGTGCAAATAATGTCAGAAGCTCTGGGGACGATTTCGTGTCATGTTTGAACGTCAGGGTCCTTCTTGGGGGACCCAGGGCATTTCAGGGACTTTCTTGAGCTTCTTCGGGACCTTTGGGGCTATTCTATAGGCTTACGCCACATCCGCCGACCCCTATATAAGGTACTGCGCCTCCAGGACTACATTTCACGAGGCTTGTCCGAATCGTGACACGGCGCTCGACATCGTTCCTGTTGCTTCGTTGCTGTTATCGTACCTCTTGGTGCTCTTTTGTGGCCTCTTCGTGGCATCTTGTCCTGTCTGCAGGCCATATCCGACCGCCTCGAGGCATCTTGGGCCAAGTTTTGGGGCCTCTTTGGGGCTTCTTGGGGGCTTCTTGGAGGCCTTTGAGGTTCTTTTGGGGGTCCCTCAGGGCCTCTTGGGCTGTTCTTGGGGCAGGCTGGGGGCGTCTTGGGGCCGAAGGCTCGAACAGGTGTCGTCTTGGGGCCGTTTGGGGGCCCTCTTGGGCTGTCTTGGGGGCTTCGGGGGCTGTTGTTGGACCCTCTTCGACCCTTCTTGGGGGCCCCTTTGGCCGTCTGGGGGCGATATTGAAGGTTTCTTTGCCCGTCTGGGACGTTGTGAAAACCGAATCGGCGAGCATGCGAAAAATGCTTGTTTTTTGAAGGGAGTGGACGATTTTTGTTTCTTGGGACCATTTTGGGGCGCATGTTGGGGGCCTTTTGGGGCGTCTTGGCAGCTTCGGAGGCCGCCTGGGGGCCATCGTGGGCGTCCAGGGCCATATTTCGGCGAATCGTGGCCCCCTGGGACCGTCAGGGGAGCGTTCTGGTGCCTTCATGGCTAGTTTTGGAACCCTCCGCTCCCCCGTGACGCGTTCGGTCCGGGGTCGCCCGGGGCCGGGGGGGGGTCAAATCTTCGGTTTTGGGTCCCTTGGGGGGGTTATGGGGGGGAACCATCTCACACGCCTAGAGACCCACAAGGGGTCGGCGGATTTTGCAATCTGGCGGGGTCCCTTTCAGGGTTTTCTCAGTGCTCGTGGGGTCCTCTTTGGGCCCTCTGGGGGCCCTCTCTTCGATAGCTGCTGGGAGCCTTCATGACCCTGTTTGGGTCTGCTGGGGTATTATTTTTGGCCCTGTTGTGGATGTCTTTCCTTGACGCTTCTCATGACCAGCCCCTGGCGAGAAGATGATGTCATATCAGAAAAACGCCTTAGGTTTAATATGCCATGGCTTCTTGGAAGCCCCCGAACAAGGGGGCGCAGGAGCCGCTTTTTGCGACATGGTCGTGCCTCTGGGCGCTATGCTGGAGGCTATCTTTGGCCACTTGGGGCCATTTTGGTTCATCTCGCGCCATCCTGGAAACCATATTGGCACGTCTTGGGGCCATTTCAAGGTGTCTTCAGCCAGTCGGGCGCCCACGAGCGAAGCCAGTCGAACAACGCGTGTTTATTTTCTTGGAAGCGGCATTCGCAATGAAGGAGGGATTGACGGCGGAGGCCGACGTGATTGTGGAGAAGTCAAGAGAGCCGTGCCTACAGTATCTGCTATTATTTTGGCATTTTGCCTGGCATGGCTCAGGGGAGGAAACGGTACCGATACTGCTACGTTCGCCTCGTTTTCGTACTTGGGTGGCCATCGTCGCCACCGCTTGATTCGTCTCGACATTCTGGTCAGAACGCATCCAGGGAGAGGTCCGGGGAGTAGCGGTATCGGTGCCTTTTGGTTCCCCCAGTTGTCAACCGCGCTGTGATGAGCCACGCTCGTTGGACCTGCGGTAGTTGCGCGTAGGTCCTGGCCTTGCCTCCTTGACTGTTGCGCTCTGGTGGTGGTCACCCATTTGGTCCCTCCGAGAGGGTCCTGGCCGCAGTTGCCTTGGATTGTTGGGCTCTGGTGGTGGTGGCCCGTATGGCCCCGCCGCTCCATTGCCAGCCTTAGCTGTCCTATTTCGTTAGTCGGATGGGATGCAGGGTCCCAGGGTCCCAGCCTTAGTTCTTCCTGACATGTGGTCTTCGGGGAACCAACAATGACATAACCATCTAAACCCGGAGATCTGCGCAGATCCGAGGAATCCGCGCGGACCTCCGAGCTTTTATGCTTGTGTCATTGCTTATCTCCCCAGGTCTTCCGCTGCAGGTGTCAAGGGGTTCCTGCCACATGCCTCTGGCCTCTCTTGCCCTGGAGCGTTGGGCTTCAGTCGTGGTTGACGGTAGGGTTTCGCCGCTCCTGTCCCAGGCTCGGTTGCCCCGCCCTGGGGGCTCTGACCGTGTCTGCCCGTGGTGTCCTGGGCACCTGCCCTTCGCTGTAGTTGCCCCTGCGGGTGTCAGCCCTTTACGCGATGGCATCGTCGGAGCGAGGGGCGTCCGCTCGCACGAGCCCACTTCATCTCGGGGGGCACATTTGTCCTTGCGTTCTTCGTCATCTTCTTCTTCATCTTCTTCTTCTTCATCTTCTTCATCTGCTTCTTCTCCTTCTCCCCAGGTGTGCTGCCCATTGAGGCTTAGCCTCTGGGGGGCGCGGCGTCGTTGCGGACAGGGTCAGGATCGAGGGGCCCGTCCAGAGTCCTGGCTGGGGGCCTGCCCATGGCCCAACTGAGACTTCAGACTGGGCTTCACAAGACATTCTTCTCGTTGCAAAGAGCCCGAAGATTCTGCGCCCGCGGCGGCCATCCATTTGCGCCGGTCCAACAGACTGGAGCGTGGACCAGCCTCTCATGCCAGTCTGCTTCCGCGGCAGCAGCAGTCGGACGTATATTTGAACACTGTTTTCACGGACCTCCGAGACGCCAAGAACAGTTGTCAGAGATGTATTTTTTTTTTTCCTCTTAATGTTCTTCGCGCTTGTTGGACGTTCTTGTGCATCCTGGGGAGGGTGCCCTTGGATGTTCCGTGTGTTTTGGCCAGCTGAGGGTCTCGTGTTCTTGAAGGATGTTCTTTTGTCCTAGGTCCGGCTGTACGCAAACCGCTCGCATGTGGCGTTGACTCGCTTCAGTTATCCGTCCTTTCACCTCTGCTTCCTGCAACCCGGCCTTCCTGGAGGCCAGCACTGCTGGCGCGCCCGCCGCCCGTCTTGGGTCGCCTCTGGGCAACGGCAGGCTGGTTCTCGTTCTCGCTCTCTTTCTCTCGTCTTCTGGGGCGCCAAGATCAGCGGCGAGCGAGGAGGGGGAGTGAGATGGAGAAAGGCCTTCTTCGAAGGCGGCGGGACTTCCCAGAAGCCCTCGCGCCTTCTGAGAAGTGTTCTGTGTCTTCGGGGAAGGCTTCGAAGACTCCGCGGAAGGCCGCGGACCTTCCGAGCCCTCTGAGAAGGCCGGCCCCTTCTCGCTTCCCCCCCCCCCCGGGCGCGCCGCCTGCGAGAGCTCGAAGACATCCGACGATATTCTTGTTTCTAGGGTAGAAATCATGGGAGCTTGGTGCATCCTCTTACTTCCGTCTTCAGCGTCGATTAGCGTCGATTAGCGTCTGGGAGCCGATGGTATAGCGCCGATTTAGCGTCGGTGAGCGTCGATTTGTGTTTATTTTACCGAATGCTTTCAGGCGCGGCCCCAGCGGCCCCAGCGGCCGAGTGCTTCCCGACGGGTCAACAAAAATCAAACACAGTCGAAAGAGCACGACAGATCGTCCCCAGATATATCATTGCTCTGCAATTCTTGAACCTCCCTCCTGTAGATCACCACCCACCAAACAACCCCAACCCAACCCGAAGGCTCAGATTTACCCTCGATTTCCAGTGGGGGGGGGAGTAGGGAAACATCGAAAAAACACATGCGGAACCCTTACCCCCCCCAACCCGAAATTCGGGTCTTCGGGTTGGGTTGGGGTGGTCTGGTAGGTAGTCAGTAGAGTGACGCGCCCGACTTGAGCCCCGGTTGGACAAGACCCACTCTTTCTGCGCTCTGCGAGGATCTCGGAGGTCCCAGCCTGTCCGCCGAGGTGCCGCGTGAGGCTCCGGCCCACCGCTTCAGGTTAATTCGTCTTTGCGCGGCCCGCTCTGACTCGACTCGCCGCTGGCGCTCTCGCCTGCGGTCGCTGACTAAAATCTCGGAGGTTTCGGATGGGTCGTTCCTCGTCGTCGGTCGGTTGGTCGGTCGGTTGGTCACTCTCGCGGCCCCCCTCCGCCTCCCCTCCCCCCCTCCTTCAGCTCCGCCGCCCTGCTGGCCGCGAGCGCGGTCGCGGTCCGCCGTGGGGTGTCCCTCCGCCCCGGGGTAGGGGGGGGGAGGGAGGGCCTTGGCGGGCGGGAGGGGCGGAGGCGGGGCCCGCTGTGGAGTCTCAGGCAAACGTCGACCCCACTCTCGGAGGGCACCAACTATACACCAACACCGATCCTGGCCCAGGATCACCCTGGGCCCAGGATCGGTGTATATGCCTTCTTGCGCAAGGCAGGAGGGTGTATACACCGATCCTGGGCCCAGGGTGATCCTGGCCAGGATCGGTGTTGGTGTATAGTTGGTGCCTTCCTACACTCTAGCAAGAACTTGGCGCCCCAGCCCAGCGCGGGAGAGCCCCCTGAGCGAGGCCCAAACAGTGGCCGAACCCTGGCCTGATATGGGCCAAACATTTCCCAAATCCGAGTGGGGCGCAAGAGCCATGATGACGCAAAATGAACCATGGCAGGCTATCGTATGTGCCCTTCCCCCCCCCGCGCCGCTGCCGCCCTCCGCTGGGAGTGCAGTGTTTTGTCCCGCTGGCATGACGTCGGGCATGTCCCTCTACAGGAGGAGTATTTAAACAAAAAATAGCCGGGGGACGATTTTTCAATAATTGTTTTTAGCATGTTTGAGCATTATTGGACTGTCTTTTATTTTCTCCTCCAAGCTCCGCCTGTAGGAGGACATGCGCGACTTAATGCTGGCACCGAGGCTGGCCGAGTAGAGGACAAGAGCCGGGGGGACCTGGAGGCCTTTGTGGGCATCTCGCCCGACGAGTGGCTCGTCGGCGTCGTGCAGGGCATCAGGCTTCCCCAGGGGGCAGGGACGCGCATGGAACAAAGAACAACGCATCGGATCTCTGGGTCGATCGACGCGGGCACGGAAACGTGTGGACGAAGACCGGCAGCAGATGTTGTCCATGCTCGACAGGGCTCGCCGTCGGTGTCGACGCGGGTGCCTTCCATTCGAGACAGTGAGTCTCCTGCCCGACGGCGGCCGCTGTCAGGTTTGGGACGACACTTGGTATTGGGCATCGTGCGCACTTTTTTTCCCGTGCTCATTTCGGGCGTGCCGAGAGGAAGATGTCGGGGGCGTCCGAGAGGATGGGAAGGGCATCAGGGCTGGGGCCTCAAGATCTCCAAGATATTTTGTGCCCCTTCTTCTTCTTCTTCTCCATCTTCTTCTCCTTCTTTTTGTTCATACCATCATTATTA